TATCCCCCTTCCCTTTCATTAAATAGTTTTTGAATTCCACCAGGTAATAAATTGTTCCTGGCTTTATACATGAACACTGAATTCTTATATCCCACTAAATCAGAGCTGCACTCTGTCGGTGTCTGCCAACACAGACTTCTTGTTATCAGTATTTCTGGCTCATGGTTATTTGCTAATGGGGCGACTATGGTTCAGTGGGTAGAGCAGCCGTTTCCCAACCGGAGGTTTGAATCTCGGTGCCTGCAGTCCACATGTCAAAGTGTCCTTTGGCAAGACACTGAACCCCCCCCCCATTGCCCCTGATAGTTAGAGCCATCGGTTGAGTTGGCGCCACAGATGGCTGCCTCAAGTCTGTACCGGAAACAAATTCCTTGTGTGTAACATACTTGGCCAAATAAAGGTGTTTCATCACCATCTTGTTCTTCTAAACTGAAAACATGCTAGGGACTATTGTTTATACAGTGCTTTTATATGTACTGAAGCGCACTCAAAGTGCTTTACACTATTTGCCCACTGACCCATTTGCACACACCATCTTTCACACAGTCAAACACAACTGGGGTGATGGCAGCCAGGAGCAACTTGAGGTTCAGTGTCTTGCTTAAAAGGGCACTTCAGCATGGTGGCTGGAGAAGCCAGGGATCGAACTGCCAACCCTACAGTTAGGCAATGACTTGCTCCACCTCCTGAGTCACAGCTGCACATTAGCTTGCATAATAAATAATGTGGTGCTGATAATGTTAGTGATATGCATTTGGCAGGCTATAGGTACACCGAGCTAAATCTACTGCAGTCCTGCAATGCATCCTCCCTCATGGAGGTGATAATATTCAGTTTTTGTTCAAATGGTTTTTAGAGGTGTTGATTCAAGAGAATGATCATCCTCGAGGCTGCAGTTTAGCTCTGTATAATGTAGTATAGTTCAGCAGTGGTATTCCTGCATTATTTTTCAGTTATTTAGCCTAGCCTCATAGATCTAAATCCAGGCATCCATTGCATGCTTATTAAGCCATGAAGTAACTGTATATTTATTTGGCCTTTGAACATACAGTAGCTGTATTTTTTTTATTATTGCAACACAAAATAACACATTTACAGGACAACATAGTATCACATGTATCACTCTCTTACATCTTTCAGTTCTCTT